TCCTCGAGATTTCTCACGGCCCATACAAATAGGGGTATCCAAGCAAAGAGCAGGTATGAGCCAAGCTCACGACCTTGTGTGCGCAAATTGACGGATTATCCTTGGGTGATCTCTTCTGCAACCGTCAATCACGCCAGCACTTATGCGGCGATACAAATGATTATGTCGTGCATTCGCTCGCAAATGGAAAGAACTGTGTCAATCACAACGGGTGAACACAAACACGCGACGGACCCATGTAGTGAGATTGATGACCAGCGACAACATGGATTCAAGGTGACACTCCTGCGCATATTGTGGGTTTGAGAAAAAATAAAGCCGAAAATCGAGAAAATGGTCAAAGAGAAAACAGCAGACGCAGTCCACCGATTACTCCGAAGAAAAAAAGGCTTGAAAGCCAGCCCCATGGAAAACCATTTGAGTATTAGCATTTCTCATCATCTGCATCCAAAGATTAGACAAATTAAAATGAACGTTTCTGCTCAAAGAAGGAAAATGAGGATAAGATAAAAGTTCAAAAGAAAGGGTTGCGTTCCGAACACTTGGTTAGTAGAAGGCAAAAGTTCAACACATTTACACCATCCCTCATAAACCATGCTACCAAAAGATCTCCTGTTCTTAAGAAAAACTCCAGTATTTTCTTCATGTTGTTTTTCATGTTCTTTGCAAACTTAAACTGACTAAAGCTATATAAGGTTGTTGTGATAGACAATGGTCACATATTCTTTCTCGAAGACCATTATACTCCACAATCGTTACTGCTTCAAAAGCTGAGCGCCAGATGAATGCTTAGAAGCCGCACGCCAAGCCTCTATCCCCTGAAGACCGCAGTGCTCCAATGAAGACCTGAGGTCCCCCAAATAGACCATATCGATAAAAATTAACATAGACCTTGATTGGAAAAAAACACTATTACCGTATACAGAGATGCAAGCATCTTAGAAAAGTGGATTGATTGTTGATTTGAGATTCTGCTTTTGACATAGATAATGTTCTTAAAAATTTGGTAGGTCGTCTCTACAAATAGTAACAGAGGCAAATAACAGAGCCGTTCGCTCCCCACGCATTCGCTCTCCTTTCAACTCCCCGTCACGAATGAATCACAAAGTTTCGAAGATTAAGTTGAAATCCGCGAGATCAACGCGATTTCCAAGCTACATAGAAGAAGCCTTCTCAGAAAAATCTAATTTCGATTTCAATCGCAAAGAACCACTCTCACTATACTACTTTCTTTCTGGAAATAGACAATTCAAAAAGTTGGACGCTTTAGGACCTCCAAGTTGCTTCGCCATTTGATATTTTCCTCTATTTTCCAGCATTTCCGTATACTATGACCAACGTGCGAAGACAGTAACAAATACAGCACAATGACGTTTTCAACGAGGTACTAGTCCGCCACACTCGCGCACCATCTGTTCAAGCGGCTGGGTAAGTTGTCATAAATCTGGCGCTGGAAGTACAAAGAGCGCTATGATTTCGCTCATTGACTGTACTTTTTTTCAATAGCAAAAAGTGCGCGAACGGAAGGGACACCTCACATGCAGTCACAACGCAATCCTTTCTTGAGCCATGAAACTGGCAAGAAGGCGTGAAAATAGCTTCGAAGCTGCAACAGATCAACAAGTTCGCTGCATCAGTTGAAATGGCTTCACTTTTTTTAGCGTCACTAAGACCTCAAATCATAGCTAGCTTCAAAACAGCGACTACGCGCAGCCGCAAATAGAATGTTGATTTATGGCAATGATGACCTACCTGATGTAAGACTGATGCAAATGCAGTTTTGTGCTCAGCCGATAGCGCATTAATAATCACATGACGATGGTTGAACATCCGTTGGAACAGTGGAGGTACTTGAGGACCCTGAAAATCATGAAAAATTGTTTCAATTTGGAATTATAACATTTAAATTTGAAAAAACTCACCTTCAGCCTTTCAGTCTTCCTACGATTTCTTCGGCGTTTTCGCGCATCGCCGTCGTCTTCACTTTCGCTACTTGATGAGCTGCTGGAGGAGTTCGATGAGCTAGACGCTTTCCGCCGCCGTCTCTTCTCTTTTTCTTCCTTTCGCTCTTCTTCTGAGTCAATCTCACCTTCGTCTAACTGAAAAAAAAAGGATCTCCGAGCAGCAATTTCACTCTAGAAAACTGAGAAATACATGAACAAACAAACTGAAACCTTGGCTAGCCAAACTGGGTTAGTTACAGTGATTGGGAAATCACATAGCGCCTTTTAGCAGAGGAGAGGTTTGCACACAGATAAGCGTGTCGTAACGAATAGAGGAGAGGAGAACCCTATCATAGGAGGAGTTGCAGTATGTGAAAATATGCCAAAAAGTGCCTAATTTGATGACGTGAGCCTGAGTTTGAGAACACGGATGATAAAATAGGAAAAGGAGCACTCACAATCAAAAATGAACAAATTTTGGAGGAGAAGAAGACCAAGTAAACAAAACAGCAAATGTGACCATAAATTAATCAGAGCAGGACTAGTTAGGCATGTCAAGAATTATAAAATCGCAAGATGTACGGCAGAATGCCGATATGGCTGACCTCTTTTGGTGGCTTCGAAATTTTTTCAGGAGTAGCACCATCCTTTTTATCTTTTCCATTCTCAACGTCTTTGGGTGTTTGCGCTTCCCCTGCTTTCGCTTTGTCAAGCGCTTCTACACCCTCGCGAGCCTAAAAAGATCTTTTATTAACATTAGTACAATATTGGCTTGCTTTAGATTTGACAATAAAACGCGCCTGGATACGTAAGTAAAATTAAAAAGTGAAGTAAAGGAACTGAAGCATACCTCCTTCATTATACGCATTTTCTTTGCTGCCATCTTCTTTTCCCTCCATTCCTTCTGACTTTGCCTTGAAGAAGAAAGAAATTTTTGAGATGAGAAAATTGATTCGGGAAACACAAGAAGGCCGTGACAGTAAAAGAGCTTACTTGAATTTCTTGAAGTCATGAATTTCACGAGGCTTCTTAGCTGGTGGCCCATCTTCGCCCATATTGGCATGAACTATATCAGGCTGGTTCGTTTTGGTCAATCTAAAAGTTACGTGAGAGAATACAATTACGTAAGACAAATTCACAAAGACTTACTTGGCCCATGACTCAAAACTGAGCGCTTCGCCTCCCAACAAAATGTTGCCTTCGTCATCCTCCTCTACTTCCAACTCGCCTTCTTCCGTAACCATCCTAACAATGTGAAATTAAACTGATCTTATCACCAATATTTGGTTATGAATACAGCTTACTTGCTTCGCTGAGCCTCCAAAAACGCACCAACACCCATCATTACACGACCGGCTCGCGACTCGGCAGAGTTTTTACTGAAATCCAGATATGAGGTAAGGCCAAAGGCTTTCGAACAAGCGAAAGATCACGAAAACAAATCCTATCAGCAGTTCCTACCCGCGATATTTCCTCTTGCTCGGTGCTATCGGTACATACTCAGCTGCTTTCATTTGAACCAATGTCGGCCGATCGACAAAAGCATCATTCTTGACTTCTTGCTTCCACCATCTTCAAAACAATTTTTCTGCTAGCCCATCAGCCTGACATCGTCAAATGGTCCTACTTTATCAAATCTTGCAAATGCTCCCTCATCCAAGCCGACTGAGCTTCCGTAAGATGCCGTTGCAGCGTATGTAGCATCGCTGGCCGCAGCACACTATCTGGCAATCCACCAATTTGTGCTGACACTGCATCGCACATCGTATACAATTCCATAACGTCCGTGACTTCGGCCCAATTCACTCTTTGTTCAGTCACGTACTAAATAAAATCAAAATGAAATTTCACGCGAAACGATTACCATCAAAAAGAGAACGCTAAAAGTCCAAGCGACAACCTCCCTAAAACGACAGGAACCCTCCGCAATTCAGGCCTAACGTATTAAGTTGGATTCTTTTATGGTATTATCGTAACACAAGACTCACAAGTGGCGCAATGTGTAATATCGCCCAAAAATCAAAACATTGTTTTAATTTCTAAAAGATTACATCCTATACAACTCACCTTTATAAACATATCTGTAACATCATCTTCATCCAAAACAGGGGCCAATTTTACTTCATCCGGAGGTTTTGCTGAGGGAGAGCGAGATACAGATGGAGCAGTTGAGGATGGCGTTGGCACTTCTTCTACTTTTGGAGGTACGAATGGCACCGGTTTCTGCTCCTCAGCAACAAAGGCAGCATAGTCAACAGGGGTAAGTATTCTGAATGTTACCACTCGTTTATCTTTTGCTGTTCCATTCGTTCAAACTGATCGTGAGCAAAATACAAGATGAACCTTAGGACGCTTTGCTGTTTGCCATCGTCAAGCTCAAAGCCATCTTCTGACCGAGCTGCATCCGCCTGCTCTTCAGTGTGCATGATAACCTAAATGACTGGAGAATTCATACAGGTTGATTTTTCATTGAGCTACCTCCGCTTGCTTGTGTTCACTCCGCAGTGGTAAAAACGTTATCCGTTCGATGTGATCAGATTCTGAATAGGATTGATAGGAAGACGAGTACATCTAAGAGAAAACACTCTCACCAAATATACTATTTAACAAATTCTGCTCAGCTGTAGTCGGCAAGTCCAAAGCGTATATTGTCCTTTTTCGAACTTCTTCATCGACAGGGGGTTTGAAAAACGGTCTCGATTTGCAAGCTGCTGGGGCGACTAAAGAGCACCCATCAAATTTGCAAGTGATGAAGATGACAAAATTCACTTACAAAACGCTGGACATGCTTCAACTTTCACCGCATGACCATCTACTCGCATTTTCTGAGCTTGTGTAAATGCTTCTCTTGCGGAGCTAATGGACTCAAATGTGAAAGATATATGGCCAGGTTTTGGTCCCTGAATATGCTTATATCAATGAATTCAAAGAAATCTTGTAATAAATTTACCTTCTGCTTTGTTGCTCGTTCGAATCTGATGCTAAAGGATTCACATCGTGCAAGCATATTGATGATCTAAATTTAAAAAAGCTAGATACATGGAATTGACCATCTCACAAGTAACTTACTTCCGGATGCGTCCTCCATGCTCCAGGATGCTTGAGATTCGTCACCGTGAAGGTACGATTATCAATATCCATCCCGTCATTTGAAGACGAGGATGCAACGGCCTCAGCTTCATGCTCCGCTTCTGTAGGTGCTGCTTGTGAGGATGAACCTTCTTCAGTAGCAGTTTCAACGGCAGAATCTGTCGCGGAGCTTTCAGCTATAGCACCATTCACGGAGGACACAACAGCTTGTTCCTTTAAACATCAAATTTTAGAGTGGTAAAAGGAGGTCCCGAAATTGGTCTCGATGGATGAAAGCTATGAGCTACATGATCGGTCAAAAAAAA